GGGGGGAAAATGTGTGAAAAAAAAAAAAAAAAAAAAAAAAAAAAAAAAAAAAGTGAGAGAGAGAGAGAGAATATAAACAAATTGAATGGAATTTGAGATCCTGCTATATGGCAGGAAGTTTCTGCATCATATTATTCATTTTTATATTTGATTTGTAGCATTCTCCCAGTGAGGTAAGCTTTGATTTATTTTATGTGCACAGAGACAACACACGACTTGACTTGATTATTGATTAGATAGGAGTTGAAGACAAATAAGCCTAAAGAAACCAAGGATAGAAATGGGTTTAGTTTGTCCATCTCCAATGCTTGTTGCACGTCTCCCCTGAAGAAGTTTTCACCTTAAAAATGTTATTATTCCCTTGTACCACTAAATACTCACTCTATATAAACAACAAGCTTTGGCAGATATCTATCTTTTTAATCTTCTATATGTCTGTACCTTTGTCTAGTCGACACGAGAGAATTGTTTTTCTTGTCTTGTCTACAACCACAAATAATAGGATATTTATATGCCTGGGTTCCTGAAGTTCCCCATTCTGAGTCTGATGCCCGTGACCTCTTGTTGCCAAGCCTATATTAAAATTTATGCTAGATTAATCATTTTTTTTTTCTCATGCACACAAAAGTACTTTTTGCAGCATGAAGATTTAGAGCTGGTCCTGCAGTAGGTTGACTAATGTGAATGCTAATTTTGATTTATGAATAAAGAACAAAAAAACCTCAAGAAGAAAAATACTTGGTAAAACACAAATCACGTTAAAGATGTAAATGAGCGAAGAGCAAGTTTAGACAAGTGGGGTGGTATCTTCGGCCAGTGCCTACCATCATTTGTATGACATACAACGGTTTACCTTTTCTGCCTCATGCACTCCCTGAGCTGTATGCCCTGAGGAAGTGAGGGAAGCCAGGCAATTGCCTTAGAAATTGACATCTTTTCAACTTGTTTAAAATAAGAAATTGACATCTGTTCCTCTAGTTTAAAATAAGGTATCTCTAGCAGGGACAATGGCTTGAAAATAACCAACTGCTATATTTGATTTGATGGTGCAGGTATATCAAAAAATACAACCGATGAAAGTCTTTTCAACGCATTTGCACCGTATGGAAGGCTTCTTGACGGTGAGTAATTCTCATCCTGTAGCTACCCTTTGAATATTGCTTTTATTATTTCCAATTTCCAACAAGATGCAATTTCTGATTTTTGATCTTGATTATCGTGCAGCAAAAGTGATCATGGATCGAATGTCTGGAAAACCAAAGGGGTTTGGTTTTATTACTTATGAAACAGTAGAAGAAGCTGAGAAAGCACGGGAAGAAATGAATGCCAAGTACCTGGACGGTTGGGTAATTTTTGTTGATCCAGCAAGGCCTAGGGAGCCTCCTCCTCCACCTCGACAACCTCCTCAACAAGACCTACATCTCAATCCAAAGCCTACTGAAAGTCTCTTTGCGCCTAACAGGACTTTAGGATGGTCTGGTTGATGCTCTTGGAAGATATTGGGCCATTTTTGGTACATACATCAATGTCGTAACTGCAACAGTCAAGCATTATTACTACTACTACTGTCTCTGTTAGGAGCATTTGAACTACTGTTGTGCCATGGATAGTATTATCTTGAACACTTGTATCGATTTTCACTTTGCTTTGCAATTGACTGCATTAAGTTATTGTCGTAGATTTCAAGTAATTTATGTTATACCTGGGATAAGTGGTTTAGAAAAATGGCTGGAATAACTGCTATTGGAATTTTCGATTTTCTATTCATTCACAATCTAGCCTGGTCAATCCAGTTATGATATTGAGGGAATGGATCTTTTTCTCGAAAAATTTTTGGATCCTGTGTTAAGAAAGTGCATCTCTTTCTTTATATTGATGGTTGTAACCTATAAAAAGATTGTTCAGTCCACGAGGCTAGTTTGAAATTTCTTAGTCAAATTTTCATCTTAGTTATACAATCTTAAAGACATCTTCCAAGGTTTCCAGCACAAGTTCCACTGATCAACAAATCCTCATCATTATTTTTTCACAATATCACATTCACTGGGATAACAGTTGACCAGTTTAGACAAGTTCTCAAGTAACGTCTTCGATGGGGAAGTGCAACTTTGTGACAGATATTTTCAGAAGGCTACTTCCCTGCAATGGATCTCAGCTGAGTTCTTCGGATTTTGCTTCTTGCCTTTGCCTCTGCTGCCTTGTGAGGATTTGCCACCACCCTTCTGCTTGTTCTTCTCGGACTTCTTGCTATAACTATGATGGCTCTGATTCTTGTTCGGCAATACATGTGGCACTACTGTTGGAGCTGAATCATACGCATCTGAGGACTAAGGGATAAATTTCACATCGAATAAAAATTAAAATGTAGATAAACTTATAAGGGTTTGGGTCGCTTTTTTTAAAAATGTTGACGTTTTGACATAGAATCTCAAGTTTTAATATAGTATTAAAAGCACAATAAGCTCAAACTAACTAATCAATCCGAATAAAACTCAAAAAATGAACATACGAATTTCATGATTGGTTTGTTCAAACGAGTCACCATCTTGTGGGAGCATATTAAGAGATAAAGTCCACGTCGATTAAAGATAAAAATATAAACCAACTTCTCTTAATAAATTTGACTTTTTTGTGATGAAACCCCGTCTCAATATAGGTAACCAACAGGGGCGGAGCCATGTTGAGACGAGTGTGGGAAATTTTAGGCCCAAACCCTTTTTTTTTTTTTTTTTTTTTTTTTTTTTTTTATTATTATTATTAGCAACAGGGGAGGTGGAGTAAAACACATGTTTTAATTTACATTGTTTTATTTTTATGCCCAAACTCATGATTTTGTTTAATAGTTTTATTATCATTAAATTTATGATCAAAATTCAATGTCCAACATGGGTTAAATTATGCCTGCACTGAATAAATTTTCTAGCTCTGCCCCTAGTAACCAATAGCTTCCGAGATGATGTTCCAGCTTTTCATGGCTACCAATTATGGCAGATACAAGCTTCCAAGGAGTCTTTAAGAAAATAGTATCAAAGAGATATTATGATACTATCGCATATATAAAATGGTGTGCTCAAATGTAATTACATCCATAATTCCATTCAATAAAATCCTTCGGGGAAAAAAAAAAAAAAATCCCACCCCAGAGACAATGGATTTCGATGGATATTGAGAAATAAGGTGGCCTCCAATAAAGAGAAAGAACACTTAATATTATTGAGTGTTCTAAAAGGCGTAATGCGTTATGATATATGGATGTAATCTTAGATGAGGAATAGGTCTAAAAACGTAAAAATGTGTTTTCTTATTTTAATATTATTTAAATTTCAATCAAAAAATTATTTAATAATTAAAAATAATACCTTTCAAACATCTAAAATAGATTTATAGAAATTTTATACATTTTTTCAAAGTTTCCAACAAAATGATAAGTTTCAAATGTAAATACTAAATAGTAAACAAATAGGAATTTTTGAATGTTTTCCTTTGTTCAAGGGCTCCAAATGGCTGTTTTGAGTCTAAGGCAATGTAGTGAAGAAATCGGCCTTTAAGTTTTAAATTGAAAGAATTGTAAATTTATTTTAAAAAAAAGAAGAAAGATAATAAGTGTGCATTAGCGGCCGTTGACCGCTAAATAAGGTGCCAAGCCACTTGGTTTGGCATTTCATCGCGGATCTCGCCTAGGCGTTTCCTATACGCCCCTTTTAGAACACTTGTATTATCAAATCACATCATTTAAAATTAATTTTTTAGAATATTTAATTCGCATATAATTTTAGATAAATACAACACGTTCCAAAGAGAATGGGAGGACGTTTTCTTCTATAAGGGAAGAGATTGACAAATTTTTTCGTTGAAGATGAATTGATTTTCAATTTTTTTTTAATTGGCAGAGTGAAGCTTTGGAATTAGTGCTATCATCTATGGAGAACTTATCTTGCTTTATTAAGAGTAGGAAACCAAGATTAGAAGTTTCAAAGAAGTAAATAGCATAGAACTCAAAGTCAAAATTGCCCCAGGTTCGTGATCTAGTAACTCTGGTGGAGCTTACCACTGTCATTATGGCTCTCACGAAGCACGAGGATTTTAACTAACACGCACTTGGTTACGGACAAAGAGTTGAGTGATTTTTCGGTACAACTTGATGGTGGACTATAAAAAGGTGCTTAATCACCCGATTTATTAATAATTAATTGAGAAACTCGATTTACAAAAAGAAAAACTGAACCCTTGTTCGAGCTCCATTCTTTGGAAAAAAATGCATTCTTAAATCGGGTTTTAACATCATTTCAATCGCACATTCTTTAATAAAATAATACTACATGCAAATTCAAATCTTTTTTATATTTTTTAATCATATATTTCACATCAATGTATTATTCAAAAATACATTTTTATGACAAAAAATTGGAGCTCGGCTTAAATTTGCTCAAATTTCCCCTCTAAAAAAAGTGATGGATTTGGCAACATTAGATGCTTGGGCCTAGTAAAAATTTCCACATATTTGTTTAAAAAATTAGAGCTGATCCACAAAAGCCCAATTGGATTTGGGCTCAAATTTCCCGAACCTTCCGAGTATGTTAAAAGTTTGCAACTTGAAATCTGGTAGACCGCCATCTACACCGTCCATTGACAAACTACTGACAAAATCCAAATCGACGGACCAAACAATTTATAGGTCAGCGATCCGCATGAAACTTAATCAACCAATAGGAACATACCTTCTAGGTTTTTCCTCTGTATATAAACAAATCTTCCTTTCTTCATTTTACTCCGCCAAACCAAAACCCTTCAATTCACTCAATTCCTTTCCTTTTTTCGAAGTTTCGATTTTCTTCATTCGTCACTTGTTTCATTGATGGCGCCAAAGGCAGAGAAAAGGCCAGCGGAGAAGAAGCCGGTGATGGCGGAGAAAAAGCCGCCGAAGGCGGAAAAGAAGATTCCCAAGGAAGGCGATGCGAAGAAGAAGAAGAAGGTGAAGAAAAGCATCGAGACGTACAAGATTTACATATTCAAGGTTTTGAAGCAGGTGCATCCTGACATTGGTATTTCTAGCAAGGCTATGGGAATTATGAACAGTTTCATCAATGATATTTTCGAGAAACTTGCAATGGAATCCTCTCGTTTGGCTCGATACAATAAGAAGCCGACAATCACTTCTCGTGAGATCCAGACGGCGGTTAGGCTGGTTTTGCCTGGTGAACTGGCGAAACATGCTGTTTCTGAAGGCACCAAAGCGGTCACCAAATTCACCAGTTCTTAGGTTAGATGAATTGTGTTGGTCTGTTTGATTGTTTTTCTTTCTGTACCTGATCTAGAATGAATATATGGATTTCAATGAAAATTGATTCTGTTGCTGATGTTAATTCACTGTGGGTTTTATACGAAATTGAAAGTATGGATTTGATTTCAAAGTTATAATATTTATAAAATATAGATTTTTTTTTTTTTAGTTGTTAAAATTTACATTTTCGTGCTTTTCGTTTAAAATCAATTCAGTTTAGGTTTTCTGCTTCCATTCTCTTTTTCCTAAACATTACCAGAAATCGAACATGCAAACTACACCTCACGGAAAACACCACCTTAGGAGGCTGGTAGACCAGACACCATAAATTTAACAAGCATGCATAGCCATGGAATTTCTTTAACATCGCCCCAAAATCGTTGGTTCAAAGATGAAGGTGTTTAATCATAAACTGAAGTTCTTGAAGATCAAGTCCATTCCCATCTTTTCCCAAACCTTTGAATCCAAGGTTGCCATTTCCCACAAAAAATTAAGAAATTCGATTAACAATATGAAGTACCTGAGAATTGAAATAACACCATATGTCAATGAAAAGGATTTGCTTTAACTGCAGGGTAACATTACAGTAACCAACTGAGAAACATTGCACTTTCCAGTAATATTCAATTGCAAAATGTGTTTATATAACAGTACCAACATTCTGGTACAGATATTCGGAATGTTGGTAAAATTGTAGTTAATGTTTCTCCCTAACAATATAACTTCTTTCATCATTTCAACTTTATCATCGGCATCTTTAATCCTCACAGAGGTTCTCGACTCCATTATACTCGCTGGGGTACTCCATTTTTCCAGGCGTTTTGGAACAAAGGGCACACTAACTACCGGGTTCTAGTTCATCAATGGTGGTTCTACTTCTGCCTGGCTGAATAATAAAGGGATGAAAGAAACTGTCATATTAATCAAAACACAAAATAAGTATTAAATATACTTGTACTTTAGCATTAGGCATCAATTTTCATGTGTGCAATTTACACACTGAACAGTTTTTATTTGTAATGTCGATAGCTTCACTATCCCACTTGCCATACATTTGATAAATTTCAGGTGTACAATTTTTATGTTTTTAATAGTATCATGGCCTTCGTCTACTTTCAGTAATTCAAGATAAAGCATGATATGCTATATAACGAAAATACTTAAGAAAGTGAAACCTGTATTTCTGAGAAATCATGAACCCCCAAAAAACAAGAGCACCAGACCTTTGTCAAGGGAGAATTCCCCTCACAACTATTTGAATATATCCAATCCAATAAATTCCATTTATGGTCTATTTGCAAAATTAGCGAACAGGCATAATCCTAATGCCAGAAAATAATTGTTTTTAATAAACTCCTTCAGTTTAAGTTTGTATCATATGATAGTACTGTAAAGAGCTAAAAACTCCCCAAACATAAAAGCAATGAAAATTACGGTTGGAAGCCTCCATACACAAAGATAAGAACATGATCAATCAAACTTGTAAACAGATATTTTATATAAGAACACGGAATAATGCTCTTTTTTTTATATGAACTTTGTTGTTAGAAAAATAAAAGAACGAGAATAATATGGTAATATCAAAATTGAACAAGAATACAAGATTTACGTGATAAAAATATACCACTAAGAGAGGAGGAGAATTTATTAATATCAATAATAGAGGATTACAAATTATAGTATACAATGCATAGATTGATTTCCTTAGATGTTTATTCCTTATATATATAGTGCAAAGAAGAGCCCAAGATGTGGTAGAGTTCAACTATAATAAGTTTATACAATAATGGATTGTTTGGGATAAAATAGGATTAAAAAATTTGCTTAAAATCACAAACAATTTCTTCCCCAATAAGACTATTGCTCAAGCGGCCACCTCGCGGACATCAAGTGCTGGAGCTCCTATTTTGAGCGCCGGAGCGAGACCAAGGCCCATAGCGAGCATCAATTTGCCATTTCCTTATCCTTGCATGATTTCTTCCTCCCCTATTGCAGTTTGGACTCTTTCAAGTTTTCTTCAAGTTCAACACAAAATTTAAGATCCCAAATTGAATTCCCAAATAAATTTCAACTAGAATTTTCAACTAAACTTCAAATGGAATTCCCAAATAGTCTTGCAAATAGAATTCAGGTCACATCTTAATTCTAACAATTTCCACCTTGACACGAATTTCATTGCAATGAATAAAACTTTAAAAATTTTCTACTTGGAGAAAAATTCCACTATAAAAATTAAAACTTAACTTTTCAACAACAAATTCTCCAACAAAAAATTCTCCACCTCTAAAACAAAGCCCAACTAGGGTAAACTCAATAACTAAATTCAACTACTGCTCGGCAAGATTACCTTAGGCATCAAAGTTGCTCAAATCATCTTTACGAGCAACATGATCACAAATAATCTAGTAATAATTACCAAACAGGGCAAAAACATACCCTAAAACAGGATCAACACAACTAATTGCTACTGTAGAAAGTTATTTGCTAGATTCAATACCTTCAACATCTAAAGTATAAGCAACTAAATCAA